ATCCGTCGTCAAGAGGCTGTTCGGCATCCTTGGGTATTGGAGGATTAGTGGAATTAGGCATTTGGGAAGAAGAGCCTTCGGCCTTGTTTACAGCAGGAGTTTTTCCCACACGGATAAGCGGCATTTCCTCATATTCTGAGCTAGAAGAAAAATACATACAACCACTTGAGGAATCTTGAGAATTCTAGAGAGAGAAATTTTAGAGATACGCAGGAAGAAATTAAGGAAGCAACAGAAGAAATGGAAAATAAGCACCTCTATTTATAAGCAAAGATGTCGCCCAAAACCCTAACCCATGAAGGACACGTGATGAAATGTGGTTGTACGAAATTATGGTACATTTATGATAATTTAGCGCGTTCCCCGAACGGTTAAATGGGCAATTCATGAAGAACGGATTAACAGTTTTGGGGAGGCCATCCTAAAAAGATTGAACGATGAGCGTACTGAGAGACATCTCGAGCCAAGGTCGGCATAAGCTATAACCATTGAAACAAGTATCTTTAGAGACCCCGAACGGGTAGTATTTGAAGAATAACAGATAAAGATCAGCGGGATGGGGAAAATTCGGGATTCGGACGAGTCAAAATATATGGGCAAAAAGATAAACCGAACAAGGTTTCTAGATGGGGATATCATAAACAAAAGATTCACTAAACGACTAAGTCCTACAGAATTGTCTGAAGCCCGAACGGCTATCGACACAAGAGAAAGGTTAAATCCTGGTAAATTGTCAGAACTATCTGAAGCCCGAACGATGATATGAAGAATGATAAAAAATGAGGCCAGAAAAACTGTTAAGTCCTATAAAACGCACTGAATCCCGAATGGTAAGCAATGAATCAACAAAGGCAAGAAAGACAAAATGTGAAGCTTCGTGCAAAAAAGATGTCATATATATATATTCATCGGCCCTATCGGCCGGAAAATACAATTATGGTTGGCAAAAAAGGAGAAGGGGGAAGGGATTACAATTGATAAAAAACAAAATTCTAAATTTACTGGCCTTCCCTATTCTCTTCTTCATCACCATCCTCCTCATCTGAATGAGTGGGGGGATCAGGCTCTCTCCCCGCTTCACGATCAGCAACCCGTTGCAAGTCCCTTTGATATTTCTCAAATTGGGCTTCAATGATGGGCACCTGGGGAAGATCAGACAGCTCAACCGGCCTCCCTAACATCTCTTACAGTTTAGCAACAAAGGGGGCCAGGATATGTTGGCAGCCCATGACGTAAAGAGATCGGGCCAGGGAGTCATTGATTTTTTTGCCCCTTGGATCCTTGTCGAGCAGTTTAACCCTCTCGCTGCGGCAGGCATCACCCGTGGAGAATCGATCGAGATAAGCACCGAAGGTGGCCGAGAGTTCCTGCTGCGCATAATCTTTCTTCAGGGCAACAAACTCCTCAGACCCTTTGAATGCTTCCCGGACGGCAGATAGATCAACCTTCACCTCAGCAGGGCCGTCCGGGATACGGGGAGCGCTCTCTTCGAACTTCACCAAAGCAGCTTGAGCAGCGTGAACTTTGGCTTGGAAGGCCCCGAGCTGAACCCTGAGCTCACCAAGCTCCGACTCAAGGCGTCTCTTCTCCTCCACGGAGGCCTTCCGTTCGGTCTCCAAAGCGGCAAAGGCAGTAGCCGCATTCTGCTCCGCAGAAGTCTGAGCGACGATCAGCTCCCGCTCTTTAGCCAGTCGAGCCTCTTTTAGCTGCAGACTGTAGAGCCCAACCTGCAGAATGTCGTTCGAGAAATGAGATGGTGTAAAACAGAATTTAAACTATGAGAAAACTATAAGGAAAAAGTGAGATACCTTCAGAGCCGCCCAAACCAAGCATTCTTCGGATTGCTCGACCGACATCTTAGGGACGGCGAAGTTGTTGAACCATGAAGAGGTGGACCAAATCTGGCTTGCAGGAGAACCAACTTTCTCCAACATGTCATGAACTGGATCCGCCAGAGAGATCTGTTCGACGTGTGTAGCAAGGTGGACGGTGTTGGTCTCACCTACAGTCATATTAGTCTCCTGAGCAGCCTGGAAATGCTTAGGGAATTGATGTAGCTGATCAGATCCGAACCGATCATCGATCACCATGGCATCAAATTGGTCCTGATGAGGGACCTGTTGAATTGGTTGGGGCTCCTGAACAGATTGAGAAGACCCGGCATCCTGAGCAATGGCGGTGGAAGGATTGGGTTGAGGATTTTTCATTGCCTTCTTCCGTTTCCCGACCCCACCAGCTTCAAGAACTCGGCTATTGTCCATAGGTGCGTCTGGATTGGGAGCTAGGAAATAACAAAGGAAAATGTTAGTACCGAGCGGCCTTATCACGTGGGAAACAAAAAAGAAGAGAACGTTTCTCGCACGGGAAGGACCACCCGGACCATGGCACTTGATTTCTCAAAACAAGTAAACCCAAGAGAACGGGCAGTACCTATCCCGGCTTCGATAAGCCGATCGGGAGTCAAGTAAATTATGATATCTACACATTTGTCCTTCTCCACAGCTAACACATCCTTGTAGATTTCCTCAGTAAGGACTGGATCGGGAGATTTTCGAGGGAAGGCATTCCATTTGCGGGGGATCAAGCCGTCCGGGACAGACACAAAGAAGAACCGATCTTTCCACCCCTTGATTGAAGTCGGATTGCCCTTAAACAGGATATGTCCCGTTCGGGCACTAGTAGCCAAATAGCCGTGTGTTTGTTGGGGGGCTACTTTAAAAAAATTGGTGAAATAAATCTAGGGTTGGCCGGGCACCGACATCTTTACAACGGAAAATAAAGCCCGCCATTGCCCGATAGGAGTTCGGCATGACTCAGGTTGGTACAATTTCGTAGAAATTAAAAAATGAAACGAAAAAAGAATGTAATGGAAACCTAAGCTCGGCCCTAACTGAATCGAAGTGGACTACAACCATCCTAGGGGTATGGCGCATTGGGTGAAGCCCAGCTCGCAATTGGAAGTCCATTGGGTTTGGGATTAGGGCCGGAATTTCGGCCCTGTTGTGAGAAGTCAGTTTTTTCCGCCTCTCCCTAATCAGTCTTGGGTCAAGCGTGTGACGAGGGAAATCATTGGGACGTCCGGCCGCCATGGAAGTCAGCTCATCTTCAGACTTGATGTCATCAGAATCTTCACTGGAGGAAGAAGAACTATCGGAGGAATCCTCCGTCTCCGCCCTAATCTCCGCCGTCGCCACATTGGAGCCCTCAACAAAAGGGACGGTGATAATCTCCACATCATGGTCTTCCCCTTGGGAAGCCATTTCCGAATCGGAACACAATCGAGAACTCATAACGATCGGATCAAAGAAGAGAAAGATTTAAAGGGATGAGAAGTACCTGGGCACGAAAAGCTTGAAAAATTGAGAGAAGAGGCAGAGTAAAAGCACAAAGAAGATTGAAAATTCGAAACCCGGATTTGAGGAGTTAAAAGCTAATTTATAGCCTTACAAACGCCGTATCAAATACCAATCAAATAGAGACACATCATTGAAACTATTTGAAATAACACGTGTCACATGGAAGAGCAAAGATCAACAATCATGACGAATATAAGGAAACTCAAACGACAACTATCAAATCAAAGTATGAGGAACTGACCACTTCTGTACCCTGATCGCCATTCGGCAGTTGCAACATTGGTGCTTATACTTCCTAATGCATTCACTGTCATTCGAGACATCGGAAGTGGGGGACTCATGTTGGGATATTGACCCGGAGGCCCAATACCCGGATTAAAGGCCCAGGACATCCAGCCCAAACAACGAGTCCACCACCTTATGATAAGTAGGCCCAGTGAGGTATTCATACCGAACGAGGTTCGGGCCAAGAAAAGGCTGGCCCAGAGAACAGACATACCGAACGGGGTTCGGGTCATACATCATACTTAGGCCAAATCAACAATGTTTTACAGGGCCCATTATCCCGTTCGGGCAACGGACAACCAGCAGGTTGCCATGTGCAATTAATGCCAGATTGTGACATCATCAAGTGGAGGCATGGGTGATCAAGTCGGTGGAACATCGGCCAATCAGCATAAAACATCTCATACTCTCCATTAGTATAAATAGAAGGTTTAATATCATTGTAAGGGTTATCATTTTAATACTCAAGCCCTAGAATAGCCTTATTACTCTTGTTTCTTGTATTAAGCATCAATCCGACGTACCGTTTGGGTAATTTCCTTGTAATCAAACAGGTCAATTAATACAAGTGGGCTTTTGAGCATTCGATTATTAATCTTTTATATTTCTTTTACATAACGAATTATTGTCCATTTCCTGATATATCCAAAGTCTGTGTTGGGCTTTCGGATCTACGGGACTAAACCTCAACATGTATTATTGTTTGAAAGTTTGTCATTTTGTGTTTCAATTTGAGAGAATTATTATTATTCTCTTTTGATGAGGTTATAATTACTAGTTTCACTTGGCATTTTTTAAAGTGAATTCGTAAATTATTCAGTCTTAATCATTCTCTCTATTTATCTCTTGTTATTTGAGTTCATATAATTTCAAATTTAGCGAATTTTATCCTCAATATTTGTTCGTAAAATGGAAAAGAATTGTCATTGTAATTATATAAGTTGCTACTCATTTTCCTTCTTCTTCGCTTCTAGTACATGAAATATGATCCAGAAAAATGATATCAGAGGAATTATAAATAACAATCATAACTTGACTTATACTAATGAAAGGAAAAAATATTAAATTTTGATATGAAAATTGTGTTAGACATGCATTGTTATACAAAAACTTCTTTTTAACCAATACTCCGTATATGTTAGGACCATTAGGCATGAGCTCATAAGAAAGTTAGTTTTGTCTAGTCTCAATAAAAAGAATAAGGAATACTACGTAACAATCATAACTAGTTATTATGATGAAACTTTATTTTTACCTTCAAGAACTTGTGTTAAGTTCTAATGTCATATACATAAAGAAGAGTGCTAAAATAATCAAAACTCTGAGAACCCAGATTGAAAAAATAATTATGGCCGAAGGGAATAATAGTAGTTTTCCTTTATTTGTTTAATTGTTATCCACACCCCATTGTATTTTTGAAGACTGAAATTAAGAAGAATCGAATTTGGATGAGCCGGCAAAGCAAGACAACAAAAACAAGTTTCAAGCGCTTTTGGAGTTCAAATTTCCACACTTTTTGTTGGACGATAACACGGACCTAAAGAAAAGAAATTGAGGAAAAACGATCTGTCATCAACCAGTCAAGCTCAAAATAGTCTTTCCCGTCAAAACATAGTGGGAAAAGGTGAATCTTAGCGAGAGAAACTAGAGAGAGAGAGTTTGTGAAAATTATGAAGACGAAGGGATGGAAAAAGAAATTCTTTGATACGGAATCTCCTCAGCTCTCCGAAAATGTCGCCGTCGCTGGTGACGCGCGTTTCTCTGAGGCACCTCGGCGTATTACAGAGGCGAGCGTCGGAGCTGATGTAGAAGGGGTGCCTGCGGCGTCGGAGGAGGAGGACGGAGAACAGCCGGAGGAACAGTGTGATGACCTCCAGATCGAAGTAGCTGAAGGCCATGCGTATGAAGGGGGGAACCGAAGACCAAAGCTAGCAGAAGGGTTTTACGAGATTGAAGCCTTAAGGAAGAAGAGAGTTCGAAAGGTACAATCTTTGTTTTTTTATTCATTTAAACCTTTCTCATCCCAAAATTTCAATTTTGATTTTCCGATGTTTCAACATTTTACCTGATTTTACGCCTATTGTTTGTGATGATTGTATTCCACAACTTCTGCAATTCAAAAGGGCCAAGTGCAGTACTTGATCAAATGGTACGTAACACGATTTCATCATATCTATGCAATTCTTCCACTTAGTTTGCTGATTGGCGTCTTGCTGTTTTTATTATATTGCAAAAGGCGAGGCTGGCCAGAGACGGCAAATACATGGGAGCCTGTGGAAAACCTGTCATCATGCTCTGATTTTATAGAGGTGTTTGAAGAAAGGTTTAAATCTTGTTACCCTTCCTTGGTGTGTTCTATTTAATTGCTCTTTATTTTGATAGAACAAAGAAAAGCTGCAATCTTGAAAATTTATTTCCTCATTTGCTTTGTATATGAAGTTTACGGTCTGGAAAAAGATCCACCCGTGGGCGTAAGCGCAAGCACAGCATTACCCACACCCAAGCAAAGAAAAAACAGAAACTGCAGCAGCCATGCTCCCCTGAAGCTGCGGCATACGGTCTGCCACCCATGACGGTCAGGCAAGTAGATGAACCACTGCCCATCCTGTCGTATGATGACCCAAACATTGTTAATCATCAAATGAAGAATGAAGCTGAGCTGGCGGCGCATGAATGTCAAGAGATACTGGACTCTTCTGAATGTAGGAAAACAATTGAACCAAATGATTTGGATTCGAAACTTAGTGAACTTAGTGAAACTCCTCTGACTGATGGCCCCCATGTAAATAATCAATCTCACGATGAACCTGGTCGGTGCATTGGAGCTAAAAGGAGGAAGTCAGGGTCAGTCAAGAGATTCAAGAAAGAGTCTTCCTCCAGTGTGTTTGATGATGTGGCAGACCGAGAAGCAAGTTGCAACACCAGTGTGGCTGTGTCTGAAGGAGTTCAGAACTGTGCATTTGTGGGAAACGATTTGGCCTACAAGGGTTTTGAAGATGTATATAATGTTACTCAGATTGTCAAACCAATGGGCTATCAGACTTCAATGTCCAATGGAGTCCAAGAAGTTTCCATAACCTTTTTGGCTAAGAGGTATGCTACGCAATGCCAACTTCTCTCTCTCTCTCAAACTTTCAAATGTTTTATCTGCCAATTAATACCTAGATATAATAATTGTTTAATTTGCAATGGAGCCAAAGATTCACTATTTTTTGGCTTGAGAATATGATGGAATAAAGCAAAATGGCTCACTAATTTTGTTATGAAGAAGCAGTCAGTCCATGCAATTTTGGACGCGATTTCCACTATGAGTCATCTGGAAACAACTTCTCTACGCTTTAGTACAGGGGTTAGACTGCGTACATCCGACCCCCTTATCCCATCGTAGGTGGGAGCCTTTGCGACTGGGGTGATGATGATGATGACATAATGCTGATCCGGATGCTCATCTCTTCACCTTGGGTTTATTCTTTATGTTACATATGGTTTCATATGGTTAGAACTTAGTCTGTCACGTAATGAAATTTCTTCTCATGCTCCTCAGAATATACCATTTACCATAAACCAATGCACTTGTTGATCAAATATATACAAAGTTTAGTGCTGTAAAATCAATTACTCTCTCCTTCCCAAATTGATTTTTTTTTTTTCGTTTTTCATAAGGTTTTAACTTCTTTACAGTTGCAATGTACAGCTCTTGTAAATTATCAATCACACATCTATTTTTAAATTGTTAGGTTAGTTGAGCTAAATTTATTAACTTGTTAGAGAACTTTTTTCCTTTCCAAATCTGCATTAGATTCAATGATAGTTATATTATTTTGTTGAAATACTGTTTTTGAACAAAAAATGTTTCAAACCAGACTGTTTCTTTTGGGACTGAGGAAGTAGTATTTGTTGATTGCTGTTATACCTATGACATTGGAACACAAAAATGGACAAATGTAGCATGCAATGGCAGTATGGCACACATGCTTCAATATAGCTTTGAGATGCTTTTGACCTGATTAGGATTTTTATGCCTATTCATGTGCTGGTTGTTGTTGTTTTCATAGCCTAATATATTTTTCCTACATTGTGAAAAGCTTTACCATTAGTTAAATACAATAAAATGCCTTATTAGCCATTTTCAGTTGCATTTGTTTCTTGGAACACTGGTATTTTCGGAGTGTAATGGGGAAAAATGGTTATTAGCATAGATTGTGTTTTCAGTTGCATTTGTTTCTTGGAACACTGTCCTTCTGTAGTGCTATGGGAAAAATGTTAACTGAGATTGTTTCAAACTCTTTTTTGTATGTTTGTAGTTCACAAAAACATTTTAAATGGTGCTGTCTTGGTTGATGATTCACCCATATAGTCCACTTAATACTCTTAAAATATGAAAACCCCACGAAATGAAGTGATGATACCTTGATGGCTATATTTCAGTGACTGAAACCCTAAAGTCTTAAATACTTTCAGTTATCACAAATAGGGGTGACGAATATGCATATTTTGCACTGCACTACAGGTGTGACGGGAAAGAGATAACAGTGGACAACAAATTTCTGAAGGCAAAAAATCCACTTCTGGTACACAAAGTTCTCTCATTTTCAATTCTGATTTTGTCTTGCAACATATTTAGTTATTTGATGTTGCTTTTGATAAATTTTGTGCAGCTAATAAACTTCTACGAGCAACATCTACGGTACAACCCCTCTGAGTGAGTAAAGATAGGGGAAGCTGTGGTCTGGTTAGCATGATTTCCCCTTTGCTAATGTATAGTGTGGTAGACTATAGTTTTGTAACACTTGTGGCTGTAGAATATAGTTTAAGCTGAAGTACATGGTGTTAAGTTACATCGATATGGGGAGCTAGATATCCCACAAATGATGGCTATTATGGTTGTTGCAGCTTAGCATATCTTATTAAATTATTTATTTATGTGCATAATTTGAATGCCATTTTTTGTTGGCATTAGCCTTATTTAAACCTGGACGCATGTCATTTCTTTGTGGTTCATTAATGCCCATTTTGAATGGAAAGCTAGAGTTGAATTTTGGCTCTGCTGAACAATAGCAAGTGTCGTGTACTCTGTACTATATTGGTTGTAAAAGAATATCTTAATGTACATTATCATCTAGTGTAATGAGTGACGATGTTGCTTATAAGCCACTTATGATCTCACAGGCAATGTGTTTATGTTTTCATTAGAGTTGGTTTCAACTTTCAACTACTATGAGTGTTTTCGAAACTGCTGATCTCCTTCACCCTTGTGTAGTTGCCACATGTAAGTGCTTCCTCCCATCACACACTGAGAATATGACGTGTAGGGTTTCTTTGGTTTAAACTTTAAAGTAGCACCACTTCATATCCAATTTACCCATATTGACAGGTGATTGTTCAAGAGCAAGTTGGTATGATACAGTCCCTCTAAAGGAACCTTGACCAGTCAGGGTCAGTTACCGGTCTCTAGTTTGGTTCACTGTTCGATTTATACTGGTTACTAAAGCCCAATAAAATATAAAATCAGAACAAGCTGTCCAGATCTATTTTGGAGGAGCCAGTATGAAAAATACCCAATTACTGATAGCGTTCTTGGAATTTGGAAATGTTGCCCTAGAGTCAATTGTAACGTAAATCATTTGCTTCTTTACCACAGTGATCTTAAGCATTTGTGTTTATACATTTCACCCAATTTAATCGTGAATGAATTGTTTATAGTACATGAAGAGAATGGTCATTATACACTTTTTGCTTGCATAAACTTAGCGTCAAATGATTTTTTTCTTTCAATCGTTATCATTAATTTTGTACCAAGGATTTAACACATACCAAGCGGCTTACTTTTTTTATCAGGTCCTGTCTGGATTAAGATGTCTGTTTGGATTAATTTGAATAGAGTAAAATAATCAATTTAGTATTATTCTTAGATTAATATTTCAATGAAAACTCATTTATTAATATAAATCTATTCCACAATCAATTTGAAAAAATGACAGAAAAGAACGTCTTCATAGACGTCTTAATGGATGGATCACTATTTTTCGAATTAATGAGTAAGTCAATTTTTTGACTGAATGATTAAATTATGTTTCCAATTAAGTCGTAAGTAAACATGACGTAATGGTTAAATGATTAAGTGAGTGTTTGGATCTAAATCTTGAAACTGCTTCTGCTCCTTTAGGAACCAGAAGTAAAAGTTAGAGTGTTTGGGTGAAAGTGAAAAAGTATTTATGGTGCTCTAATTTACTCCTAAAAGTTGGGGGAGACCAATTTCTGAAAACTGATTATGATTCTGCTTTTGCTTTAAAAAACAAGCAGAAGTAGATCAGTTTCAATTTCCAAACATCCCCTAAGTCATCTTTATCAAGTCGAAAGTAAACAACCCATAAAGAAAAGGAGGAATGGTATTGTGGGCCACTAAATGGTAAATATGCTCAAATATTTTAGGCAGACTGGCAGACCAAGGTGCAAAAATGAGAAAAAAATGAGACACATAGAGCATTAAATTAGAATTAAAACCCAACACTATTTATGATGATAATGGTCTGGATTAGGGGTGGACCCGATCGGCACTCCCGAACCAGACCGGAACTGGGCCCACTACTGTGGGGGACCGGACCAGGTCCGATTTTTTGGTCCCGGTCTCGGACCGAGTACCTGACCAGGTATTTCCGGACTCGGACTCGGTCTCGGGTAAGCAAAATGGGGACCGCACCGGGCAGTCTCGATTCCAGACTAGGGTTTCACCGGACCGGAACCGGCCGGGTAGACCGGACCGGAACCAGGTCCATTGAAACCCAGGTCGGTTCCGGTCTTCACATTTAATGCCCGGGACCGGACCGGGTCCACCCCTAGTCTGGATGGAATATCAATGGTCTCAACCCGATGAAAACTATTGATACGCTCGATTAGTGTGTTTTGCCAATAAAAATGGCCTAAAGGGGTTGGAAATGAAAAACTGTTAGATGAAAAGCATGAAATGTTAAGTGCTAAATTTTATTGATTGAAAGAAAACTCATTTTTTTCTTGTTGTAAAGAAAACTGCAGAGTGCGGAGAGATATATTCAGTGTGACTCCTGATTGGCCATATTGAAAGCCACATTGCAACTAATCCCTTCCAAAACAAGTAAAGAGTCATAGAAATACTACTGTACGAGCTATTACAATCAAAGAATATGTTACAACAAATTCCAGAGAGTTGGAGAGTTGGAAAATGGGAACCAGAAAGACGCCTAGTTCTTTGGGATGTTTTTCCCTACAATCTTGGCCGGGGCTATTCTAAGAAGATTTCCGGGCTTACCAGGAACAGCACCTTTGATCAGTACAATCCGAAGCTCATTATCAATCTTGATGACCCTCAGCTTCCGTATCTTTGTCTTTGTCCCTCCCATTCTTCCCGGCATTTTCTTGCCCGGGTACACCCGCCCTGGTGTTGTTCCTGCCCCTATTGAACCAAGCTGTCGATGACTCTTTGATCCATGAGTCATTGGACCTCTCTTGAAATGATGTCTTTTGATTCCACCTGTTATAACGTTGACAACAATTACTTCCTAATAGGGGAATCCCACTATGGAATATTACACCAGTCCAGTCTTGATACAAAGTCATTTCTATGTTTGTTAGCAACTTAGCATTAATCAAATTTTCTGCTTATATGCAAACTAATGAGAATAGATAGCACATAGGCATGGTTTTGAAAGGGGTTTAGCCTTTACGCACCTGAGGCGCAAAGGCGTTTATGCGTTCGGTAATAGCCTGGAAGGCTTAAGCCTTATCTTCCGCTAACAAGGCTTACGCCTTTGTTTTGCTGAGGCGTTGAAAAGGCCTGGGCGCAAGTCCTACATGAGGCGTTCGCCTTTGATTTACCCAAATTGGGTTTATTTTTTTAAATTATTGGGGGCCTCAGTTTTATTTTCATCCTAAACTGCAAAGTACCTGGGTCGTTTATCACTTAGTCAGCCCTAGGTCCTCTCTTATCTGCTGGTCTTTCAATCGGCAATCACTGGTCTTCCACGATATCAACAAACGACTTCAACAAGAGCTGCCCAGCCTGATGTATCAGTCGAAACAACTTCAGGAGGCGCTTCACTGCTTCGTTGGTTCATCCAGGTAACTATCCCACCGCCCATCGTATTAATTTCTAATTATGTTTATTGTTTCACTTTTTAGTTATTTAAAGTTCTGTATTGTTCATACAAAAAAAAGTTCTGTTTTGAACTATTTGAAGTTTTTTCCTCCAGCTGTCCAGCTGTTCGTATTAAATTTCCTCCAGCCATCCGGCCTTTTTTTATATCTTTGTCAGTTTTGTCATTTAACTTTATTAATGTATTTATGATTATCAAGCCTACCTTTTAAAGTTTAAAGTTGTCATACGAAACTACTACAAATCATTTAGCTTAGAAATTTAGTTGTTTAATAGTACGTACTTTACTTTGTCAAAATATAGATAACTTAATATTTTATTTCCTTGTCAATTCAATATAATTAATATACGGAGTAATTGTTTACACTTAACTTGCATCCTGGTTCATTCAATTCTTTGTGACTTTATGTGGGTAGGGGTGGACCTTACTGTTGGAAGTGAAGAAGATAATGAGGCCCGTGAAATGACAATGAGAATGACATTGGATACTGATGAAATGGATGATATGCTTAGTTTTGAAGATTAGTAGTTGTGATTCGTCAATTTGCAAACTTAAATCCCTAAGCTTTTCGAGGCTTACGCCTCGTTACGCCTTGAGGCTTACGCCTCGGGAGGCTATCACCGACTGCCTCGAGGCCCGTTTTCGCCTTTCAAAACCTTGCACATAGGGGTGGAAATGGTTCAGATACGGACAGGCCAATTTTAGGCCACGGAAAGAGAGAAACCAGAACCAGACCAGGTATACCCAGTTCCAGTTAAGCTACTCGGCTAGGTTCTAGTACCCTTCTGGTCTTAACCTATTTAAAAGTAGAACAGAACCAGTTTGGACTAGTTTCCGGTACCGGTCCAAGTTGCAACATAAAAAACTGTCCACCTGTCTCGTTCCGGTTCCATGTGTAGTAACATTTGACTTGCTTACTAGGGTGAAATTGGTTTTACTAAACACTTCGTTTCAAGGAAATTCAAAACGTTAAGAAGTACTCCGTATAATATTTCAGCCAAATAACTGTTACCATAAGGGGCGAATTTCAGGATATGATTCTTTGATGAGGCCAAATTTAATACTACGTATGATAGTGTAGAAAACCTTACAAAAATCTGCAATGACAGTGCGCTAAATGTTGGAACACCATTTCAGGTAAATTTGGTCATCAGATGACAAGTATTATCAACATTAGTATATATTCTCCGGCATGAACATTACACCAAGCTCTAAATCAAATCAAGGGAAAAAAGAACTCTTTCAAAACACTTCTTGTAGCCTATTACTGCACATATAAGACACAATTCTCGAACGTTTACAGTTATATTATCTACTACTATTATCGTTATTGTTAACTATAAAGGTTAAAAAGAAAAAGAAAGACTGAGAATTTAACATTTGACAACCTATATATATATATATATATATATATATATATGAAGATGCAAATCTGCTATTTTTGATATACGTAAAACCTGGTATAAGGAAATACCTTGAAATCCTTTCCCAATAGTGGTACCAGAGACATCAACTAAGTCGCCTTCGCTAAAGAGCTCGCTGAACAAAAGTTTCTGGTTCGGCTCGAAGCCGTCTACAGATTGGAGCCGGAACTCCTGCAAATGGCGCAACGGGATTATACCCGATTTCTGAAGGTGTCCCATTTCAGGCTTGGTTAGCTTCCGGTCCCGGATGCGGCGATAACCTACTTGAACGGCGCTGTAGCCGTCGGTAGAGTCGGTCTTGACCTGAGTAACGATGTTCCCCTCGCGGAATCCGATGACGGTGACCGGAACTATCGTGCCAGATGGCTCAAAGAAACTCATCATTCCTAGTTTTGTTCCCATTACGCCAACTCCAGCCTCCATGGAAGACTTTACTGGGAAGTAAGAGAAGCGGAGCGTCGGTGGTTTTAGGGGTTTGTTAATGGATAGAGGACGGTTGAGGAATAAGTGGTGGAGACAAAAGGAGGAATTGTTAGTGATAGAGCTGGTAGCGGAGAGCGGCGGCCCGGGGCGAAGAGAAGAGATGGACATTGTGGGCGTTGGAGGGAGTTTCCGGAGAAAAGCCTAAATATGGAAGCCCTTGTGTATCCTTATCCACCACCAGCAGCGCGAGAAGGAGAGGGGGAGCTGGGAAGCTTACATGGTACAGCCGGCCGGTGCCAGTTAGGCATGGCCTGGGTTCGCCGGGTCAGGCCTCGGTACGTTTTCGACCGGGCTTTTTTTGGAGAAGTGAGGCCCATAAACCGGCCCGGATAGCTCCGTTTTCGGGCCGGGCCGATTCACCCGATGGTTACTGGTTTGGGCCGGTTCGGGCCGGGTAACTTTTTTTGTTTGTTTCTAATTACTTCCTACCCCCACCCCAAACCCCTCCAAAACACCCAACCCAACCCATTTACTTTTTAAAAAATGTGAAAAAGAAAAAAAAATTGAACCGAACCGGGCCGGTTCGTGATTTGGGAGGCCCGTGAACCGCCCCTCTACAGTGCCGGACCGGTTGGCCCGAACCGGTCAACGAACCGTGGGCCGGGCCGGGCCGGTTCGGGTCGGTTCCAGTTCGGTTCACCCGGTCCGAGTCCATCCCTAGTGTCAGTCGTACAGTCGGCGGCAAACTTGTAATTTTGGTGAAAATCACAGATTCT